ATAATTATATATGACTATATATAGAGCAATATACAGCCAAGCAAGATTATATATAATTAGATATGATTATATTTGGCCATTTTTCATATATAATCATATATAACCAATTTATATATAAATATATATAATTATATATAAATATTTTTTCTCGGGCGATTGGAACCGAACTAGAGGCGTTTTAAAGAGCTGGATCAAAATTAGATTCCCTGTAATTTTGAACCAATTCGGACGGGTAGGTTTTAAAAATTCTCAAAAAAACTGGGACAAAAATTTTTTTTAAATGTGGTATTTTTGGAATAACTTTTAAACCGCTTGACCGACCAATTTCAAAAACTAATTAGCTTTTAACATTAAAAAACCACGTCAATCACCGCCAGTCCGGTGAAAATCGGTCGATTCGTTCATGAGTTATCGTTGTCGATAGAAAACCGAAAAAAGTATTTTTTCAGAATACGTGCAATTTTGAGCGCTTAAGTATGAAATTAGCGGAAAGTTGCAGGGATGCTCTTTAGGGTCAATCGTTTTCTTAGATTTTTTTTTTTTTGAGATTTCTCAAATCTACTGAGCCGAATTGATTGAAAATCACAGAAAATCTAATGGCAACGAAAATCTTTTGAACGCCGCCAACCCCGTTTTGATCGGTCAAGTCGTTTAAAAGTTATACGGTACGTACACACACACACACACACACACACACACACACACACACACACACACACACACACACACACACACACACACACACACACACACACACACACACACACACGCACACACATACATACATACATACATACATACATACATACATACATACATACATACATACATACATACATACATACATACATACACCATCGCCGGAATAGTCAGGGAAGCTTCTTAGGACCTCGAAACGTCGAGATTCGATGAAAACTCGATTTTCGTAAAACCGGGTGAAAACAATCTTCCCGATTTTTGAAAATCTTCGATTTTCTTAGCAGGAAGTTAAAAATTCTTTTCACTCCTTTTTATTCGTAAGTCTATTTATTGAAGAACTACGACAAAAAATCAATAAGAAATTCCATTTCACTCAAAAAATTTCTAGGGCCGAAACAAAATTATGCTTAACTAAAATAATTTAGGTTCCACTGTAGAAAATTTTTCGTTTTTCCATGAAAAATAATTGTGTTATAATGTTATAAACACTCCATACTTTTATGTGTTGATTTGAGACTAGATACAAAGGCATTAATGATCTTTTCATATATGCACAGATGCATTGCAGCCAAAAATGCTGCTAGTTTATGACTATTGGGATTTTATCACATATGGTCAAGAAAAATGTATTGAAAAGGCGAAGAAAACCGTAAAGTTCATCAACTCATACTATGAAGAATTAAAGTCAAATCCAAAAATTGAAGTAGTGTTGACAGGAATTGCTTTTATAACGGTAATTATTATTCTTAAGTTCTATCGACAACTCCTTTTTTATTCTTAAAATTCTTGTGAAATATTATTTCAGGAACGACAAGTTTATACAAGACCGTCTGTTTTTCAAGTTACAGAAGCAGATTTTTTGAAAAGTCATTTATTGACCGAGAAATACATAATCGACGATCAACTTCAAACTGGAGATTGGCGTGATTTTTCTCTAGCTAGTAAGGAAGTACAAAGATTTTCAGAGTGGTTGAGTAATAATAAAGACCAGTTCGAACGCTTGAATTACGATTTCTTCCTTTACTCCTTTCCGTAAGTGTGAAATTTATATGGATAAATAATAGTTTATTTTTATGACTTATTATTGTCAACTTTGATATTTTTTATTGAAGATTTTTGAATTATTGATTTACTAAATTATTCTTCATTATCTTTTAGATGGTACATGGCTGATGACGCGACACCAGATTTACAAAAACACTTGGTTATGAGCTTGTCTGAACGAAAACTTTGCAGTGCAAACCCAGGTCTTCTGGTCAACAATTTGATTGGTGACGAACACCCAGCGTACCCTGTAGAGATTTCTTATCTGTAAGCATCTCTAAACTGAAAATTTTTTCAGGCTAAAAATTTATGTTCAAATTTTTTTTTTTTTTAATATTTATTTATTGACTTAATATTTTTAATGTACATATTTTTTTTCTCTTTCGATACTATTTGCACATATGCAATATTGTTTACACTTACAATACCATGCCTATTTGGCTAACTTGCATTATATGTAGTTAACAGTAATGATATAGTTAAAAACAATTATGTTCAGATAAATTTTTTGGAAAAAAATGGGAGCGAAAATTTCAAAACTGTTCAAACATTTTTTTAATTATTCATTTTTGTTTTCCAACCATAATTGTACTAAAAGAACTCTTCTTTGGCTAATGATCATTTTTTAAGTAATTGATTATTTTTTCAGATTGGGAACTACTCATCCTCTGGACAGACATGATAGCCACTATTTTACTTCAAATTTCGAATTCTTTGATGATGTAAAAGAAAAATGGCAGCAACGCACGATTAGCGTTATTTCCAATAATTCAGGAAATAATGCTTACTTTTGCATAAAAGACACTACTCCGGATTACGATGAATATGAAGATAATAACGAATAGTGCCTTGAATATGATTATACAGCATTGACTTTTTAAATTACGCATTTTAATTGTTGAATAAATAAAGCAATTTTCAGAGATAATATATTAATCATTTACTATAATCTTCCTTTGTCTGACACTGTAAATAAAATTTCGGTTAATTTCATATGATTATAAAAATTAAATGAACATGCAGAAATGTTGATCATTATACATTAATAATGAATGATGTTCACAGTTTATTAATAATATTTTAATTTTTATTAATAATATTTGTGAACGCTAATTAAAAAAGCACCATTTGGCCACATCCGAAATGGATAGGTAGATTTCTGGGATGAATATTTAAAAACAAATCTACACGGAGAAAAATTAATTATACTATCTATTATACAAAAATAGTAACTCCTACTATCTAAAATGGCAATAAAATTAATTAGTAACAAAATAGTAGGTAGTATCATTGACAATTGTAATAGTTACTATAAATAATGGTAACGATTACTATCAAAAATAATAATTGTAATTATTATAAATTATAACTGTTACAATCGAAGATGGTAACTGTAACCATCTCAGATTATAAAAATTCTGAAAGAAAAAATATAAATATAAATTTACTTTATTAAATCCTTTATTTAGATCCATATTTTAGCTAATGTATATTTTTTTTCTTTGAAATATTAAAATATTCCCTTCAAAATTTTTTTGAAATTTGATTTTTGGAGTATTAAAATTTTTTTTGAAATTTTGAATTTATCTGAAAATTTTTGATTTTTTTGGGAAATTAAAAATTTTTTTTCAAAAAGAAATGCATCCACGGTAACGCAGATTCTTAATTTTTTTAATATTTTTTACTAGCTTAGATAGTAGTTATTATTATTACTGATGGTAACTACAACCATCAGGTTATATTAGGAATTAGGATTTTGATAATAGTAGTAACTAATTAAAATAATAACAGTTATTATTACTGATTACTATCATAATAGTAGTAGTTACCATCAGGATGGTAAATACTACAATTCAGATGGTTTACTTAATTATTTAAATAATATTTACTACTATCGAATTTAGTTAATAGATTTTACCCGGGGAAAAAAAATTATATATAATTTTATATAATTATATATAAATCATTATATATAATTATGTATGAGTTTTGGCCATATATAATTATATAAAATTATATATAACTATATAAAATTATATATAATTATATAAAATTATATATAACTATATAAAATTATATATAATTATATAAAATTATATATAACTATATAAAATTATATATAATTATATAAAATTATATATAACTATATAAAATTATATATAATTATATAAAATTATATATAACTATATAAAATTATATATAATTATATAAAATTATATATAACTATATAAAATTATATATAATTATATAAAATTATATATAACTATATAAAATTATATATAATTATATAAAATTATATATAACTATATAAAATTATATATAATTATATAAAATTATATATAACTATATAAAATTATATATAATTATATAAAATTATATATAACTATATAAAATTATATATAATTATATAAAATTATATATAACTATATAAAATTATATATAATTATATAAAATTATATATAATTATATAAAATTATATATAATTATATAAAATTATATATAATTATATAAAATTATATATAATTATATAAAATTATATATAATTATATAAAATTATATATAATTATATAAAATTATATATAATTATATAAAATTATATATAATTATATAAAATTATATATAATTATATAAAATTATATATAATTATATAAAATTATATATAATTATATAAAATTATATATAATTTTTTTTC